CCCCCGCCCCCCGCCTCGGGGCTGCTGTCTCCCCAGGACACACGCGGGTGTAGATTTGGGAGGCGGCGAAAGAGGCGATCAACCAGGAAGTCACGGGTTGTGCGAAGCCATCACGGGAGACCCACGGGATGTGGGCGGTTATCCTCCTGCTGTGTCACTGCCAGGCACATGCCGTGGCCCGAGGACGAGCCAGCTCTTGGGCTCTGCTTTTGGGGGGAAGGTCTTTCCAGTTAGCGGGGGCCCCGTGGGCCTAGCGGCCTCAGCGCACTCGGGAGGGCTTGGCTGCCTCCCTCCCCTCCCTTTGGGGGCGAGCCCGTCGGATGTTGACGGCATGGCTGGTGGGTCCGATGCTCAGAGTGTTCCTAGGAAGAGACGAGTGCGAACTGCCTGGTGCACTTTTCCAGGCCGGCTCTAGTCAACATCGGGAGACACTTGCATCTTTTTTGATTTAAAAGAGCAAAATGCCGCTCTGGCCGGTGTCGCTCCGTGGTCAGAGCAGGGTGAGAGGAACCTTTTTCCTACCAGGGGTCATTTGGATATTTATAACATCGTTTCAGACCATACAAAATTAGCTTAAAAATTAGCCATGACAAAAAGCTCTTAGATTTATTGAAGTTTGAGTCCTGCCTGCGGTTCCCTGGGCAGGGCCAGACCCAGTGATTCTGTGGGCTGGACGTTCCCCACCCCTGGGTTGGAGCGTCGCCCCACGCACCGAAAGGTCTCGGGTCTGACTCCCGGTGAAGGGCAGGTACCTGGGTTGCAGGCTCGATCCCTGGCCCCGGTCGGGCTGCATGCCCGACGCAGCCCATCGATGTGTCCCTCTCATGTCGGTCCTCACGTCCATGTTCCTCTCTCTATAAAAAAAAATCAATGGAAAAAATATCCTTGGGCTCTGCCTATGTGGCGCAGCAGTTGAGCATCGACCGAGGATCCAGGCGATCGTGGTTCGATCCCCGGTCGGGACACAGGCCCGGGCCGCGGGCTCGATCCCCACCAGGGGACGTGCAGGACGCAGCCGGTCAATGACTCTCACCATGATGTTTCTATCTCTCTCCCCCTCTCTCTTCCTCTCCCTCTGGAATTAATAAAAATATATTTTAAAAAACACACACCAAAACCCCCAAAACATCGAAATGCTGTCCGTATCCCAAGCACCACGTGTGGAAGGAACCCAGGCCCTCCCCACGCGCCTTTGACTGTGGTTTCTGCCCATCGCCAGGGCCGCCATCGAGAAGCACGCCCACTTCCGACGCCTGTGCATCGGCTTCTTTGTGGACCTGGTGTCCACCATGTGCTTCAAGGACAACTGTCCCCCGCACAAGGACGTGGTCCAGACTCTGCTGTCCTTGCTGTTTGTGCAGAAGAAGCCCCTACGGGTCATGCCCCAGGGTACGAAGCGCTCCCGTAGACCTAAGCGCCCAGTCCCCTCGCTCGTGCGTCCCACGCGGACGCTGGGCTCACCTGTCTCTCTCTGGTTGAAGAGCGCTGCTGCGAACACACGAAGGCTCTGTCCCCATTTGACGACGTCGTGGACAAGACGCCCGTCATCCGCTCCGTGGTCCTGAAACTGCTCCTGAAGTACAGGTGGGCACGAGGGCGGACGCGGTCCACACCGCCGTGACGTCGGGGACACGACAGCCAGGGGCGGGAAGGGGGCCGGGCGACGGGGCTCGGCCGGGTGCCGCGTCCGTCTGGACTCCTGGGGAGCCTGTGAGGTCACGACTATTTTTTAAACAATACGAGGATGCTTCGCCCGTTTCAACACGTGGGCGTGGCTGTCGCCGTTCCTGCCGCGGCGACGGTGTTTCACGTTCCTCCGACCTTGCGCCAGAATGTTTCCAGCAACATCGGGCCGCGTGCCCCAGCTACGTAGGCAGGTTGCGAGGGCGCGAAGCAGGCTCCCCCCGCGTTTCCCCCGTTTTTGCAGAGTGGGTTTTCGGACCTGCGGTGACCAGGCCTGACGCCTCTCTCTCCCCGCAGCTTCCACGAGGTGAAGGACTACATTCAGGACTACCTGTCCCAGCTGGAGCAGAGCGCGTTCGTGGCCGAGGACAAGACGGAGCTGTACCTGCTCTTCAGCAGCTGCCTGGAGGTGAGCTCGCCGCCCCCTGCGCCTCTTTCCCGGGCTCGGCGGGCCACGCGCCGGGTGCAAAACGGGAACGTGCTTCTGGAAGCTCACAGGCGTGAGTTTAGTCGGGAAAACGAGCCGGCGCCGTGCTCCACGTAGGAGCCAGCGACCGCGGCTGCTGCCCTCGGTGACGGCCTGAGCTGGCGCCGCCTGAGCGAGGCCCAGCCCCGGGGGACGCAGCCCCGGGGCTGGCGGAGCTCAGCGCGGGGGGCGGGGGGCGACGAGCCCCTGCAGTCGCATCCCCCTCGTATTTGGGGGTGCAGGGTGCAGCATCCCCCCTGCCAGGCCGGCTCAGCGGGCGGAGCACCCTCCCGCGCACCGGAAGGCTGCGGGTCTGATTCCCGGTCAGGGCGCATACCTGGGTTGGGGCTTTGATCCCGGGGGGCGGTGCCAGCTGGAAGCCACGGCCTGCGTTTCTCTCCCTCTCTCTCTCTCTCCCCCTCTTCCTGTCTTGTAGGATCAATAGCAAAATGTTCAAAATCCTCTGGTGAGGGTTTTAAAAAAATTAAGAGGAACAATATTCTTTTGTGTCTGGCTCCCTAGGACTCGATGCACGAGGATAGTGCTCTGTCCACCAGTGATGGCGCGAAATGCCTCAGGGAGGGCGCCCAGTTCCTCCGGGAGTGTCTGCCCAGGAGGCGGGCCCGGGACGCCGCCCGCGAGGCCTCGGTGGAGCACCTGCAGGAGATGGCCAGGATCCGCCTCTGCCTGGACAGGGCCGCCGAGGTCCTCGCCGAGCTCCGGGAGGGCTCGGGCAAGTCCTCCCCGCACCCCTCCTCGCCTCTGCTCGGAGACTCGGGGAGTGTGGGCGCCCGGTCCTCGGGATAATACCCGCCTCCTTCTCAAGCGGTGGCTTACCCCGCGGTCCTGTTTCGGGGCTTCGTGCCGGGGACAGTGACGACCATGCTGACTGCTTCCTCCTCACCCCTGCAGAGCCGACCAAGGACCAGCAGCAGTACCTGCGGCAGGTGGAGCTCTTCTGCACCCAGGTCCAGAACGACTGGTACCGGGTGTACCTGGTGAGGAAGCTCGCGAGCCAGCAGGGTTTGGAGTTTGTGCAGAGTTTCTCCCGGCCCTGCCACCCGGCCCAGTGGGTGTTTCCCAAGGAAGTCATCGAGCGGCAGGTGAGGAGCCTCCCCGAAGCCCTGGGGCGGCCACGCCTTGGGCACCACGTCCCTCCCT